GGGGCAGCTCGCTGCTGCACAGGCGTGCCTGGGGGCACCGCAGCTGCAGGCTGGGCAGTGGCAGGGATGGGAGGTAACTGGTGGTTTTGGCAGCGCCTGGCTGGTCAAGGGGTTTTTTCTTTTCTCCCTCAAAGGATGCGTGCAGTTTAACAAACGGTTATGTTTTGGTAATACTGCCTGCTCATAGAAAATAGGAATGGATTGTCTCCTCCTATTTTTATCTTTAGATGATGTTGTCAAAAGCTCTTGCTATCGACAATCAGAATTTGACTGAGGGATTTCTCTCTGTCATCCTGTCTGTCTGTCCTAGGGTCTGCTTTCTTTTCTAAGTGCCCCACTGATTGGTGCTCTCTCTGATGTCTGGGGCAGGAAGTCCTTCCTCCTCCTCACCGTCTTCTTCACGTGTGCGCCAATTCCCCTTATGAAGATCAGTCCATGGTGAGTTTACTCTTGTTATAACGAGGGGTTCCGAGGAGAGGAATGAGTGTGAGGCTGAACGATGGGGGGTTTGCAGGTGTTGCAGATAGAAGAGTCCATCCAGTGGAGATGGATCCTCAGCCACTTGTCTGGTTCTACTGGAGGGTTCAGTGTCAGGAAGAGAGTCTGTCCTTCCCCTCCTGGTGCCTAGTCTCCCGGGAGGTGCATCATCACTCTTAGAGAATGTTGACGTTGCCTTCTTGTGTGGGGAAAATAAGTGATGAAACTCCATGGGCCCCCAGGCTGAAGCTCGGTGTTCCTGAGCACTTTCTGGGGCTATGAAGTAGGATGAATAAGGGAGAGGTTCTAATACGGCAGCTGTGGAATAACGTGTGGTTGCTCTCTAACTCTGCCTTTGGCAATGCCTGTTTCAGGTGGTATTTTGCTGTCATTTCCATGTCTGGAGTCTTTGCTGTCACCTTTTCTGTGATTTTTGCCTATGTTGCTGATATCACACAGGAGCATGAACGCAGCACAGCGTATGGCTTGGTAAGGAGATGAATAACTGGCTTGTCTCTTGAAAGAAATATTTGTGGCTTTGCAGATAGGAGAGGTATAAAATTGGGGTGGGAGATTTATTGACAAGCCTGAGGCCAGTATCAGTGAAAGGACGATATGTGCTTCACTGATACTACAGTCTCCCTGTTCTTGTATTTGTGGTTTAGCACCGAGGGAGGGGGCTAATTTCTGTGTGACCTGAGTACCAGCTCTACTGTTGCTTAACCTTGAAACCAGCCTGGCCTGTGAACTTCTTTGCACCAGGAAAGGGGGTGGGCTGTGATGCTGGCAGGCATACAAGTAGCCTGTGATCGGGCCCTTTCTATAGGGTTACTGAAAGTATCATATATGAATTGTTAGGCTAGCTTTAATTTCCCCTTGCTAGAACTTAGCCTAGATGGCACCCAGAGAACATGTCGTCTTCCTGTCTACAGGAGTCTCTGTTCACCTGGATTATCTCCATCAAAGATGGCAAAACCAGTACCCTTAGGTTGCTCTGGAGGAGAAAATAGGCTCTAGGAAGAAGAGGCTGTATTAATGTTTTGTGCTTCCAGGTGTCAGCCACGTTTGCTGCTAGTCTGGTCACAAGCCCAGCGATTGGTGCGTACCTTTCCCAAGCCTATGGCGATACGTTGGTGGTTGTGCTAGCTTCAGGTGTTGCTTTGCTGGATATTGGTTTCATCCTGCTGGCTGTGCCAGAGTCTCTGCCAGAAGAGATGCGCCCAGTCTCTTGGGGAGCTCCAATCTCTTGGGAACAAGCAGACCCGTTCGCTGTAAGTAATCTTGCTGTTGTTTTTCCACATGCTGGTAATGCTTATATCTGCTGTGGTTCTGCTCGTTGCTCTCAAAAGGAAGATGCATTCCAAAAAAGGTGAAGGGTGCAAGGCTTAGATTAGCCCCACAGAAGGTACAGCGTTTGACTGACAGCAGGCTGCACATACCTAGAGCTGCCTAGTGCCTTCTAACCGGTTTCATATAGCTCCAAATCATCTAAAAGCAGCTCCAGATGTCCTGCAGCCAGAGCATCTCTTGGTGGAGATGTGCCACTTGTTTGAATATGAGCTCCGTTATTAGCAACAGGACTGTGCCAGGAGAAGTCTTTTGCATTCCTGGCTTCTCGGGACCTTTGCTAATGATGATGAGCTCTGCACAGTTGCACCTCACCTTTGCTTGCTAGGAAGATTATTTTGGCTGTCGGAGGAAAGACAATTCTGATCGAAAGCAATTGACTGTAAGTCTGAGAAACTGAAAGGTAAAAACGCCTCATTCTAGGGTGTCCACCTGGTCTGGTGTGTCGTGGCAGTGTTCACATCTTCCTCTGGAATGCTGGTCTGGTTTCATTCAAGTACTCACTTCTTGGATATAAGATGGTGACTTGAGCTCTCTGTTCTGCTGTCTCTGTACCTGGAGAATATTTAACAATATTAACTCTTTTTTTTTTTTTTCATTTTCCACCTGCCTTCCCTACAGTCCTTGCGGAAGGTGGGTCAGGATTCCACAGTGCTGCTCATCTGTATCACCGTCTTTCTATCCTACCTTCCTGAAGCCGGCCAGTACTCCAGCTTTTTCCTGTACCTGCGACAGGTCAGTCTCCTGTGATGAGGGAAGGCTCTGAACACAGGAAATCCCGGCCTACAAAAATTATCGTAGTTGCTTGTCCTAAGGAAGCTCATCTTGGCCAATAGCTTAGTAAAGTTGAAGCTATAAGAAATAGTGACTTGTTCCAGCTTTCCTAAAAAATGTGGGAGCCTGGCAACCGCTCCGTAGGCACTGCCAGGACCCTTGCTGGGCTTCTTGCTGGTGGTCTGCCTGTCTGTCCCATCCAGGCCACTTCTGGGTGTTTAAGGTGAGCCCAGTGGTTTAAAGCTGTTCCTTCAGCCAGAGGAAAATCTTCAGTTTTATTCCTGTGGCAGCTGGGAGTTACGGGAGGGTACAGTTGATTAATGCTTAAGTACCTGATAAGCAATGTCAGTAAACATTAGTGATGCTGAGGGAGTGGCTTTCCTCACAGGGTAGAAATCTCTTGCCTGAAAAGTCTCTTTGGTGTTTTCACAGGTCATTGGTTTTTCCTCCGAGACTGTGGCAGCCTTTATTGGCGTAGTTGGGATTCTCTCTATCCTGGCTCAGGTGAGAAGCAGTGTCTGTCTTGGCTCTGGCATTGTGGTTATAACAGTGTCCAAAATTGCTGATAATCGTGGCTGGTGAGTTGTCAGAATCCCCGTGGCCACGCAGACGCCGTCGGACCCCTGCACGGCTGCCAGTGGGTCCCTCTTTCTTACCTTGTGAATGTAGCTGGTACTTGTTGAATAACAGACTGTGGCAAACCATGGGGTGGCCCCGTGTTGCTCTGTGAAACTCTATGATCGTGCACTGATTGCCATGGACAGGGATGTGCTGGTTTCCAACACAGTGTTACCAGAGTGGAGGAGTGCGTGTGCGTGACAGCAGTCTCAGCAGCCCGAGTTCCCTCGGATTCCTGTCCTCTTGTCTTCCAGTGTTGTCACCTTCCTTTGCGCTCACTTTGAAAGCACCTGTTTTTCTTTCCAGACAGTAGTGCTGGGAATTCTCATGCGTTCGATAGGAAATAAAAACACCATCCTGTTGGGACTAGGCTTCCAGATCCTGCAGCTTGCCTGGTATGGCTTCGGATCACAGCCTTGGTAAGAGTTTTCTCACATTTGTCTCCCGGTGTCGCAGGTTTCTCCCTCTGCTGGGGCTCTGTGGCAGCACCCTGTCCCCTGGCAGAGGGAGATGCTGCCCTGCCGTAGTGCTCATCTGCGGCTGGCCCTCGGCAGCCTGCCTCCTAACTGCTGCCTCTTTCTCCCCGAGGATGATGTGGGCAGCAGGAGCTGTGGCTGCGATGTCTAGCATCACCTTCCCAGCCATCAGTGCCATGGTGTCCAGGAACGCGGACCCCGACCAACAGGGTGAGTCTCTTGGGGATTTGTCTAACGGGCGAGTTCATCCCAGCAGGCGATTGAGCTGATGCACGTTCAGATTCTCAGCGTTGGTGGTGGAGGGGTGGGCAGGAACCTCTGTGCGAACTGTGGAGTGTCGCTGCATTCTTACTAGTATTGACAGGCTTGCCTGTGACCATTGCTGATGCTTTGGGAGGGAGCTCTCAAATCATGCATGTCGGTGTTCAGTGTTGCCTGTCTGAGCTGGAGAGGAGGCTGCTGCTGGATGGTTTGTCTGCTTTGTGGTTCGACCCCGAGTCCTTCGACTTGGGGGGCCTTAACTCCAAAAAAACAGGGAATTGTTGCTCGATGTGCCCATGCTCATCTTATTCTCCCAAGTAGCAAGCCCACCATTACTGATTCTTCAACAAGCTGATTCTGAGCAAAGCTAATCACCAGCCAACCCCTTCATCTGTAGAGTGCGTGTCAATCCAGATCTGAGTGTTTCATCCTGTCTTAAAATACGTATGCATTCTTGAATAAAACAAGTTTCTTCAGAAAGCTGCAAGCCCGCCTTCCTTTCCTTGCTCTGTCCCCAGGTGTGGTGCAGGGGATGATCACTGGAATTCGGGGTCTGTGTAATGGCCTGGGGCCAGCGCTCTATGGCTTCGTCTTCTATCTCTTCCATGTGGAGTTGAATGAAATGGCTGAGGTGGAAACGTTGGGTAAGGCCTCCAAACCCAACATGGCCAACCCTACGGACGAGGTAACCTGTTTGGTGGTGTTACTCCGTTTGCTGGGCTGCTTCTGTCCTTGCACCTGAGCATTAATCGTTCTTGTGTTTTGCCCTACAGAGCAGCATTATCCCAGGGCCTCCGTTCCTGTTTGGGGCTTGTTCTGTCCTGCTGTCGCTCCTGGTGGCCTTGTTCATTCCGGAACACAACCTTGCACTGAGATCGGGCAGCCACAAGAAGCACAGTAACGGAGCCCAGGCGCACGCCCACAGCCCGCAGGCCGGAGGATTGGATGGCAAGGAGCCCCTGCTCGAGGACAGCAGCGTATGAGGTTGGGAGAGAAGGACCTGGCTTGCGTCTCAACTCCAGATCAAGGACGGACTTAGCCAGTCGGAGTTTGGGGAGAGAGGGTGGGGGGAGAGAAGAAAGGAGGTAACAGCCTGTGCCACTAACAGCTAATGAGAAGGGACAGGGTTTCCCTTCGAGCCAAATATACCCAGCTGGTGCAAAAATGGAATTGTATCACCTGGTGCTGGTGGGAAGGGGAGATGCTGAACTGCTCCACACGTAGGGGTGGCTTTTTAAAGCAAACCTGCCCTTGTACGGGAATACTGAACTTCATGGTGTGACCTGCCAAATACTCAACTCACCAGTGAAAAATTAAGGAGCTAGCGTTGTCGTTGTTCTAACGTGAACTAACTGAGTTGCCAGCCAGAGTGAAACGAGGCATCTGTTACACGCCCCATCCCCTTACGTAGCTGGTACTTGCTACTGATCCCGCCGCAGCTCGATGGCAAACCCCGGCCTGGGGAGAGGCTCGACCGCTGTGGTGCGCAGCCCGTGCTGCCGCACACCGAGCAGAAAGCGCGTGTGTGTGAATTACGAGGAATGGGTAGAGTAGCCAAGTGCCAGCAGGTCCCTGCTGCTTGAGGGTCTGGTGAATTTGCCTGTTCTGGCCCAAGTGAAACTTAGACCCAAAAAAAAAAATCTGCTGACTTTAATGTTCTGATGAAGAAAATTTAAGAAGTAAAACTGCAACTGACACGAGGCAGAACGGGCAGATGAGAGAAGGGCAGCTGCGTGAGTTATAAATGCTTCAGTGGTCAACAGCTCCCATATTTCTATTTGGTTTCTCTTTCTGTTACACCGAGGTAATGTTTGTCCGTCCCTACCTTCACAGGGAGTAGGTAGAAGGATTTTTCAGGAATCTTGTTCTGGAATTGTAAGTGTTGTTTAGGAAATACAGTTCTCTGGGAGGCTGGAGAGACAACAAACTCTGCTGAGCACCCTGATAAAGCGTCGGCTCCTGAGAGAAAGGTCAGAAGGAGAGCTGTTTATCTGGAGCACTTCTATAAAGCAGGCTGGTTTCTCCCTGGGCTCTTGCCATCTGATATTAAAACCAGATAATGACTGTAGCTTGGTTTTTCTTGGTCCAGAAGGTCCTGGTGGTGGTGACTGCAATTGGTTTGAACTTACAGGTTTGGATTCTGTGTAGCATTTCTGAGCCTGCTGTGAAGGCTTCTGCTTTGTTGAAAAACGAAGCTGCAGCAGCAGCTCCCTTGGGGAAGAGCAGCAGACACTTGAACCTGAGTGTTGCGAAGGAAGCCAAGACAAACATACAGGGAACGTGCGGTTGGTTGCAGATACACAGCTATGGCAGAGGGCAGGAAACAATTGCTCTCATTTGAGTAAGATCAGAAGCAAAGGCCTTGAGCAATTGCTGGGGGAAGTAGAGACCAAACTGGGAACACTGAAGATATTTGGTCGCTAAGGGAACTGAGGATACGACGGCCAAACTGGTCCTGTCCGAGCAGGGCATGGGCAGCAGCTCTTGTTCTCTGGCTGGGATCCCTCCTCTGTAGGTTTGGGACCGGTAACGTAGGGGAGAGTGGCCAAAAGTGGGGGAGCAGTCACTCAGTGTCTTGGTCTGTGCAAAGGGGTAACAGTGGCCGATGCTGTCCCTGCACGGTGGTGACTGCAAATGCCTCTTGTCTCGGTTTCGTGGCCCTGGAGAGCTCGGTCACTGACCCACAACTGGCGCAAGCAGGGGAGAGCCCTGTCCATCCCCAGCTCTGCCCCGGCAGTGCAGCTCGCCCCGTGCCGGGAGCATGAGGGGATGTCAGCCCCAGGCTGTACTCGGTATCTGACCCCTTCTGCGCGCTCATCAGCGTGAGGGCTGGATAATGTCGGCTTTGGACAGATGGAGAGCTGCAGTTCCGCGTAGGTTTTTTAAATGCCAGTCAGATAGGAACAGTGTGGAGCCACTGCCTGCCTAGACCAGGCTGAACTAATCATTTAATGTCTGTTTACCAATTTTCTGGACCAGTCAGTTATTGGAGGTAGACATGTAAGTGAAATAATTCATGGTTTGTTTTGCATTAATCCAGCCTGGTACCCAGATCCTGTAATCAGAAACTGTAGGAGCAGATTATTGTCCACGCAGAGGGCAGCCACCTCGGACGCCGAGGGTTTGCTGGCGTGGATCTGATTGCAGGGCTGGAGAACAGAGCTGGCACAAAGTCTCAGTGACCTGCGGTGACTCCACTTTTCCCAAGCTCGTTGTGGTGATGCTCAGATTCCCAGATGTTACTGGGATAGTCCGTACCGTGCATGCACAGCAAACTTTTCCTAAAGGAAATCCAGTTGCTTCCAGGCAGCAATCCCAGCTCTGTGTTGCTCACAGGAGGAGAATTTCTTAGACTGGAGCTTTACCAAGTACGGCTGATGATGCGTTTGTTTACACTCTATTAAAGGGAACTGAAGTCGCTTTGTCCCTCCCACACAGTGAAGTGAAATGAAACACGGGGTCGTTACCTCGTTCGTACTGGGACACTCGGAGATTCACGGGCGGAATGTAGTGGAACGTTACAAAAAGACAAGCATAATTTATATGATATAAAGTATACAGAGATATATTTTTAAAAGTCCATTCCTTTATTGAATAGTTTATTGAAACCAATGTCTTTCTAGTCCCATTCCCTCTCACCACCGCTGCTGCCTGCAGCGTCTCGGTCTCCCCTTCAGATGGCAGAACGCACCGGGCGAGCTTCCCTCCTCGGTCCCCGTCCGTCGCGACGCGATACCCGAGTTCCCAGTGATGCCGACGTCCCCCAGTTCGTGAGTAGTGGATCTGGAGTGGTTTGGTCCCTTCTCCAGCCCTGGAGCTCGGGGCTGGGTGACGCCGCAGGTTACCGCCGCCTCGGCGGGCTGCAGCCGGGCTGCCTGAAAGGCTCCGCCGCAGCGAAGGTTTCCTCGGCTGCTGGGGGGGGACGGCGTTGGGCGGCTGCGCTGGCAGAGGGCACGCTGCGAGCGCCGTTATCAGCATAAAGGTGACTTGTGCATCGGTCCCTCGCTGGCCCGCGGGCTGGCCCAGGGGTGTGAAGTAGCCCCAAGCCTGGGTGTGTGGAGCTGGTCTGGGCATGGGGGCTCCCCGTGGGGCAGAGCTGCTCGCCTGCCCCGGAGACGTGGCTTGTTCCTGGTGCTGGGAGCAGGCAGGGATTCCCTTCCTTGGGTTTGGAGTTCCTTTTGCCTGGTTGGGGGGGGGGCTCAGCCCCAGGCAACCCCTCCCCATGGTGTAGGGATGTGACCCACCCACCGCTCTGCCTTTAAGTGACAGAGGAGGACTTGGGCCAAGTGGCGACGGAGCTGGAGTCACCAGACCCGAATGACGAATGTCTCATTCTGAAGGGCTGGTGGTTCTGCAGCGTCCCGTGTGGAGGCTGGAAAATCTGTACGGAGCATTCAGCTAGATTTGCCAATTTTTGTTACTTTATATGAAAATGCAACTTTTTTAAAACAGCCTTTTCTTAAAATCCCCTCAGTCTGCTGTGTGGTGCCTGAGCCTGGCTGTTCAGCATCACTGCTCCCGGAATTTGGCTGCGGTGAGTTACAGTTCAGGTCGGTGACAGCAGTGCCCCAAACATAAGGCAAAAACGGGCTTTAATGGCCCTTCTCCTGCAGTTCCAGTGCTAGTGGCCGCCGTTCAAGTGAGTTCAAACTGATCTTCTTGCATCAAAACCCTGCGTTAAGCCGTTGCTTTCTCTTTCACCGTTACTTTTGCAAAGTAATAACTTTTTACTTCACTGGGTTTTATTCTGTTCCCTGCACTTGGGTGGCTGCTCATGGCTTTGGTTGTCTGAGTGCGGGCGTACGGCGAGCCCGCATCTGCTGAACAAAAAAAGCTGAACCACGGTACCTCTGCACCCCAAGTTTACTATTGCCTGTGTTTCTGTATCTTTTTTTTTTTTTTTTCTGAGCTAACAAACTTGTTTGTTTCAGTTGGGGTTGTGTTTGGAACTGGCTGATCTCTCCCTCCGATGGATTATTTATTAAACTGCTGCTTTCCTGTTGTGTTGAAGTTCTCTGTCCTCATCTTTCCCTGCCCCGTGTTACCGACCGCTTTCCAAGCTGCCCTGTGCTTCTGCCCAGCTCCTCTTGACCCCTGTAACTCGCGCTGAGAGTTATGAGAGACTACTGTGAACGGCCCTCCTGGTTCCAGCAGGCACGAGCCGTCAAGTTGCTTCTTACCACTTCCTTAAAACTAAGGTATTCCAGAGCAAAAAGTACTTGAAACCAATTCCCATCCACCCTTAATCCCCAAATAGCAATCCAGCTTCCACGGGAGCGTTGGAACAACACCACCCCAACTGTGTGAGCTCCTCCGGTGTCGGGCACAAGGTGTTTTGAGCCCTGGCCCCACTGCTGCTTGTACCGGATGGGGGCCGAGCGCTGGTGCAGGAGGAAGCTGGTTTTGGGAAGTTTGTGCAGGGCAACATTTGCAATGTTGGGCCAAGCAGGGAGCAGCAAAACGCTCCGGAGGAGCGAGCGGTCTGCTGTACGTAGTGGGGCAGGGCCATCACCATCGCCTTCAGCA